ATGACAACCGCGGTAATAGTCAACATTTCCTTCACAGAAAAAATTGCGGCTTTAAAGGGTTACAACTGTTGTTTGCTAATTATGGGAAGACGGAAGCAGAAAGTGCTAATGATGTTGCTTTACATCTCAACCTGACATCTTGTAAACAGGGCCATAGTGATGACATTTCCCTTGCAACAAATGACGTTGCGAATAAAATAGATGAAAGCATGGTAAATTGATGGTTGATCAGGTATCATTGTGGGTGTTCAAAGACAGAATTACACAACGTACAAATGTAATAAAACGACAATGGTCCAAACGTGGTAATCCCCCTTGACTTGCGCTTGCGTAAGATAAACCTTTTCAAAGGGTCTAGCGTCTTTTAATTTTTTCTTCAAGGCTTTGCGATTTTGCAATATGAGTAAAGTACTATAGCTGCTGTGAAAAACCAACTTGTAACAACGCGATCTCAGCAATTAAAATGCAATCTCTTCATAGTTTTTTTCGCACACATTAAAATTCTAAAATTAATTACACTCCTGAATAATGGGATCATAAGTATTTCAAATACGTTTTGCATAATCACCCCAAAGAAAGCCGCATAGTTTCCAGTAATCGTTAAAGACTGCCCTAAATCATCAAAATTATTAAAGCTCGTATCTCATGAACGGAATTGAGGAAATTACCTTTTTACACTTTCGTTGAGGTTTCACATTTATTTACATGTTTTACAACAAAAAAATTGTGCCTGAAAAGGAGTTATTGTCTTCCACAATGACCTTCAGTTGCCTTGCTGCCACCAAATAAGCAACTCTTTTACTTCCCCCGAGGATCATCTAAAAATAACCTTACTCCTAACCTTCAATCACTAAGCTGATCATAAATATTTCTTTAGATTTGTGTACTAAACTTCCATTACGTTCTGACCCCTATAACCCCTTTAATTGATATTCAAGCAGAATTTTGAGAATAATAATTTGCTCACAAACAAACTTCTAAACCGCGACTTAATTTACACGACGACTTCTATCTTTGTCCTCTGTGGCATGAAGAAAATATATTCTTTGCTCAAAAATGCTAATAACATACGTTCTTAAGTCAGTTTGCGGTTTGCTTTTCGTTTGATTATTTAATAAATTCCGATAACCTGACACAGCTTTAGCAATGCCAATAAATACGCTGAACTGCCTGATGGGCATGTAGAGAAGAGCCGCGGGACTTCATGTAAAACCTCTGCACTTTTTTGCTTGTAAGGCATAAATAAATGCAAAAATAAACTGGTGACAAAATTTAGATTTACGCACTTAAAGCTCGTGACAAATGACAAATGCATGAAGTTTTTCCCTCATTCCTTGATGACAAACGATGCCAAGTACATTGTACACAGGTTAACTAAAAGCATTTGACTTTTCAGTAAATAATTTTTAGATACTCCATGTTCTTTGTTAATCAGTCGATAAAACAGACCGCTGCCGAGTTCAAATTTAACTAACTTCCATAAGTTGTGTTTTCCATCGCATATGACACCTTCAAAATATTATACATCTCTAATGTAGCAGAAAAGCGCATTGTGATTCACAATCATAGCTGGCTAATGTGACCTATAGAAAGCGGTTTAGATAGTACAATTGCCTTCTGCTGACGAACTAAGTTTCAAAAGCACCTTTCAAGCGGAACCTGCAAGTTTGTCATTGCTAGTCCGGCACTATTAGCCTTAGCAATATTGCCTATGCTTCAAGTGCCATGCCTGGTCCCAAAAGCTTGTTTTTTTAAAGCTCCTAGGACTACTATAAAAGGTAAAAGGGAAGAGTAATAAAACAGCTTTTTGATCTTTTTTCAATTCGGTAATGACTTGCTCTGTTTGTTAAGCTGACCTATCGTCAATATATTAAAGTATGCCTCCATTTGAATAGAACAGAGTAAAATTAAATACATATTTTAGGTCGTCTAGTTAAAAGCCAGGAACAGTGATCCTAATGCAGAATAAGCCTTTTTAGTAGCAGCAGCAGTTATCCTTGTCATCGCTCTTGTGTACTCAACTCGTCAACAAGAACAGGAATTGAGCAAACGCTGTTTTTCCACAAAGCTGTCTCAAATTTAGTCGTTGGTGGAAGCAGAACATCGTTTTCCATTATTTATGAAATTTCTTTCATCATATTGTTCCGCCTATCAGATTTTTCATTGTGACAGCTGTTTTCCTTTACGCAACTTAACTTTCAACTTCCTCCCTTCACTAGCATAACCCCAAAAAAACTATCGACAAGGCAACTGAATTATCCTTTACCTCTCATTCTTCAGCATACTGTGTGCTATTCGAAAATTAACCACTAAGTTCCCTCGATGACAAGAACAATTCCTGTTAGTGGTTATCAACCTAAACTTCATGGATGCAAAAGTACCTTAAGTTGCACTCAGGTACAGAAAATAGTTCTGGTAAGCTTTATATTCCAGATTGCTGCCCCTGTTAAATTTCGCGACAATTCCTGATTCCTTTAATCAAATTTGAAAATGTAGATTGCTAATGGTTTACATTGTGACCCACCAGTAAGCGTGATACTCTTTGTTCGTGATTATTTAAATGGGTGAGTGCCGACACCAGCACTCGCAAATCACCGACTATCAGTCACCGAATAAACATCAAAAGTGGGCAGTCACTGGAGCGATCTGACTTTGACCTACAAAGTACCACTTCTACTGTGTGGATAACTTTCGCCTTCCAGCCAGTGACAGTAAGCGTAGGCTGTCAGGTAAAGTCGCTGAGTTAGCCATAACTGTCCACCCTCCTTATCTCATCTTGGCTCACGGCATCACCACAATATTTTTCTCCGTCTACTACGGATTTGCTGAAAATTTTTGTTGGATTTTTGTACCAAAATTCAACATATAATATTATAAACAAGGAGCTATTTACTAAAGTTTCACAGGTGTTTTGGATTGCCACATGTTGATTAGATCTGGAAAATAATTTCCATATACGTGCTATAGTTAAAAATGGATAAGTTTTTGAAACTGTGTCAAGTTTTGTGGTTTTCTTGACCTAAAACATCATCAGATAAAAACAATACCAAAGATGTAATTTTTTCTCCAGAAAAGTGTACTTTTTGTGAATCTTATTGCGTGACGTCGTTGAAGATCTCATCTTCGTTCACCTTGAATTCGGCAAACGGGAACGGTCATTAAATGGGTGCAAATGCCATGTACGCTGAGACGTAAGATAATGGTACGCATCAAAATTACCTACAGGAGGTCCATGAATAGCATCAATACTTGCATCTACGCTGGCGTCAACACCAGCTGCCATGACTGTTTCCTTGACGCCGGAAACGACGCTGATTCCGGATTTGTCGTCTGTAGACGGACGAACAGTAGGGTTTAACAGCTAAGGCCCATGTACATTTGACGACACCTGAACAAGGGGTTTGCGATTTTACTCATTATTCGTAAAGTCATGTCAATATATTGATTCCATGTTTTTTTGGTTGTTGCCCTGACCGAATTTACAAACCAAAAAATGACATTAGGTGCAATTTAACATTAGTCTTGTGATATCTGCAGGACTAGGTAACTTGGAGAGCAGGAGGCCTCCGTTAGGCAAAGTGCGCCATTTGGGATAAAGACATGGACAGCTGTGCTATCTACGATGCGTGATCATCGCGGAATTTTAACAGCGCGTAAATCACATCCCTCTTTAGTTGCTTAAAAGCCATGCTGCGGCACTTAGTGAGGTTTTGGGAATCACACTAGGGCCGACGATCTACACTGACAAGGCCTACCAAAGAAGAAGAAATGCAGATAACGTGCAGCTAAACTAGTTTATTGATGCGGTAGTGGTGTGTGTGTGTGCATACAAGGTAACAGGTCAGCTTATATAGCCTTGCTAATCATCGATCTCTGAACAAACCTAGTTAGGTGAAGTGCATTCAAGTAAATTGATTGAGTCTTCTTTGCTCACGATTGGTGCGTTCGCTTGCTGCTCTCCGCGCCCTCAAATACCGAACACTAACAAGTTGGCGAGTCTGTTAACCGCCTGTGCAGCACAAGCAAAAGCCTTGCATGACCAAAAACACTTTTTCCTTTCTAGAGCACTTTTGTTTTCAAATTATTAACTAATTGAGCAGATTTTAAATCTCTTTCCTTCAATCGTTTAAGTGCCTGACGCGCTAACGATAACTACTTAATTAAAAGACAAGTGAATTCAGCTTCGGTCAATTTGCCCTTGGCTTTAATATCAAAAAAACATCGTTTAGTCAAAGAAAAATTATAATTTTATAAAGAAGTATACTTTACAAGTTACGCTAATAAGGGAGATTTGAAAATGATGTCATTCGGACAAATGAACAGCACACAAACAAACAGACAACATGTTGAAAAATAGTTTAGCCTGGAGCAGGAAGATATAGAGGATAAAAAACGCCTTATACCATCAAAAGTCTCCTGCGGCATAACGACGAGCATCAAAGAAACTCGTCGATACAGTCCGACCATTGTACTTTCGCCCGTTTAATGCTACACTAGCTGCCTGCGCCTGCTGGACAGTCGCAAATTCGACAAAAATTTTGCCCAGGTGAGCTGACGAGGGAGCGGAGTTGGGCTGAGGCATGTGCATCGAAAGAACCGCACCGTGACGCAAGCACTCGCTCCGAACATCCTCGAGCACGTCGGCATACTCCTCTGGGGATTCGATGTCTCTTGGGGAGACCATGTTGGAGAGACAGAGGACAGTAGTGGGTGCAACGAGCGAGGCCTCAGGGAGTGAAGCGGATGTTGCGGGTGGCGGAATTAATAGGTGGTCGGCCCGAATAGCAAAAAATTTCCCTCCGCCTGCCGGATGGTTTTGAAGTCCTAGACAAGCCAAATCAGCCGACTCAGATGCCGTGAACTCAAAAAAGCCACACCCTCGCGACAAAGCAGTCAACGGATCCTATGGAAAGAAAGCAGTCACAATAACGAATGACTTAATCAACTTAATACTGTATGTAGAGCTACGAAGTTGCACTTATATCTAGCCTATCTTTGTTGGAACCTAAGCAGCTGTCTACGTCCTTAGGTTCTAGCGGCGTGTCTGCGTCATCAAATATTACAATAAATAGATCTGAAGAAGATAAGCAGCATATAACAATTACCGTACTAAATTGATACCATAGAGATTTATAACAAAAATTGCAAAAGAGCTACTAGATGACGTGCCGCCAGGACAGCATTAACTGGTCACCTTACCTGAACTGAAGAAAGGATAAAAGGAAGCAGTTGTCAGCCTCAGAAATTGAAAAAGGAATGTGCAACCAAACACACCCTCACGATCACGATAACGCACGGCGCATAAAGAGCGCGAACAGTCAAGGTGGTTATATGCACGCACACACACACGCATGTCATCGATTTGTTTTGGATTTGGATTAGATTTTATTGTCGACGTGAAACTTTGGGGCCGCAATAATAAAAGTTTAATACTGCCAAAAACGGAGCAAGTTACAACCAGCAAGCTGAGTGGATTGCAATAACTTTTCGTAAGTCGTGGTAATCACTGCTCGAAGGTCATGTGAGTACCCGTACACCCCCATAAAACCTAACCCAAAAATCAACACAAAATAAGTTAGAGGCTTTAAATCATTGTCGCCTAAACAAGTTCCTGATGACACTGTTATGGCGTTTCATCAGCGGACCTTTGTCAGATAGCAACTACTAAACTTGCTACTATGCAATAATTGCACAACAGCAACATCGTCTTTCCGCATTTCACACTCGGGGCGCTTCCTGGTCGCGTAGTCATAGTACATCGGATGAGATTGGGTCAAGAAAACAGATACCACACGGTTCCATGAACTGAAGGTGTGGAGTCCATTTTTACAACTTTCTACTGTGTAAGATTTTCCTATGACTGTTCAATTCACGAATTGCAACTTGGCACGTCACGGTACACAAACTGGCTCACGCCTCACGGCACCTGATCCTGGCCCGAGCACAAACTTGCTTGACCTGTTTTTCTTTACAGAGGCTACACCGCTGCTACGTGCAAAGTCTGGGCGATAAGCACAACACATCAGGCGACATTGGTTAAATTTGACCAAGTTGCACGAAGGCGTGGAGCGTCCAATTTCAGAAAGATGAGCCAGAACACAGACTACGCCAAAAACATTTTGACAAATATGTGTTACTTGCAAAGCACAGAACCAATTTGGGGACGCTAGAAGAAAAATAATTAACACCTACAGCAAATCAGTAGTCTGATATTGTGCTCTCATGACGTAACAAAATTTGCATATCAAAACAATCGTAACTGCGACAAAAGAGGTAGCTTAGCACACAATTTGGAGCCCTGATCTTTCCTCTGCTTGAAATAACACTAGCCATACAACGGGCATGCCATGAAGGGCCGTCTCCAGTCATCAGACTCACAGTCCCGTCAACCTGCCCAGCCTTCCGCGAAGTTGTTCTTGCTGGCTACTTACACAATTCACTCCCAATAGTCCTACCATAGATGAACAGCATTTGTAGCACGCGTGCAAATGAATTAGTGTAAGATGTAGTCGACCTAGCGTATCGGATAAGTCATCGTCCCAACTTTGATTTCTTTGGTCCAAAAAAGCTTAAAATCCTGATACTTGTAACTTCACTCAACAATTGAACCTTTGGGCGCATTAAAGAGAAGAGGACAATATTTTGGTTGCACTTTCCTGAAAAAAAAATTAATTTGGTGTTCATTCACTGTAGTTGTCACCCTTTTTATGCCATTTTGAATACACAGGACATGTGATTGCCAGTGCGATCAAACAATTTAAATAGATCGCACTGGGAACCTATGTGAATAATTTATTTTGAACAGTAGATTACATATTCTAAATTACATTCTGATAAGATTTTAGGCGATTAACACCTCATAGGCAGCCTGCAAATTTTCACTATTTCCAAGCTTCGCATCGGTAAGAAATCCAAGCGAATCTATTATTATTGGCTAGGAGCACTTAGAAAAAGACTCATTATCATGCCTCAGATCACACGAAGGAAAGCGCCCAGATTTAAGAGCGTTCCCCTAAACTCTTGACTAACTAATGCAAGGAAGAATTTCAAAGACGTTCTGAGATCAGACGTTAGAGTGTCCCAGTGCTTAATTGCGCTTACGTGAGTCTCACAACGCTACTTAAGTGGCTGATGCAATGACATGCACAGTCATTGAAAATCTACCGAGTTCTGGTTAAATAAAACCGCTTAACGCTTTAACATTTCATTCGGTCTACAAGTCTTTCCAAACACTAGTTTGTGTAGTACGTGATGCGAAAGCATTTAGTGGAAGAAACCGCCTAGCACAAAAGCCTTTTGAGAGATAAGTCTGCTTGAGCACGGATTGCATCACAAACTCCGCTATCAGAAACTTAGTTAACAAGAAAGGGAATAATATTAGTGGTTTTGATTGTATCAACATTTTGACGGTTTTGAAATATAAGTCGAATTATTAAATCATTTGTAATGCGATCGATCTGTACATCTTTAACTCTAAAGAAAAATGATTGAATGATTAACGTTCGACGGTTAAGTCCGAAAACACTACAATCAGCAAGTGGAATCAGCACGTAATTAGTCTAGGTGAGCCGACTTGCAGGCAACGATAGTAAAATAAAGCTACAAATTGAGACGTTGGTCAATAAAATATGTTTGTCTGAAGCAAAACTAAACTATAGAGCCCTTAAGCAACATAATTTGAAATAGTAAAGAAGCAAAATGCAGCAGCTGGAAGCGATGTGTCTAGAATAATGTCAGATTTGTTGGAATAATTTGCATGGAATTGACTCAATTGGCGATTTCTTAAATTCTAAATCTTTTTAAAGATTATTGAAGTCACAAGGGCTGCCTTAAAGAAGATAATTAACGCAAATTAATTCGAACATTCTAGGTAGGAGGTAGAGTCACAACGGATAAAATTACCAGAAAAAAGTAGTTATGACACCTGTGTAAGCAAAATTGGGTCGCTTTGTAAAATTTTTTCCAAACATAGAGGCTACCTCTCGGGTTTGTAAATCATAATTTCCCCGACCATGGCAATGAACTTTTTCGAAATTTGATACGAGATTAGCACAGTGTCACAAATGAGAAATTCATACAAGCAGTTCATAACAGTGAGGTACCTCACATGACACACCAAAAAGATATTTATTTATAAACCACAACAACCAGAATGCTTGGTGAAAAACTTCAATATAATATTTTGCCAGTACATTCTTGGTGATTTCGTGTTGAACCACATTAAGTGGCGTATAATTTGACGGGGTCACCGTATAAAAATATGCAAAAATATATCCCGCTGGAATTAAAAAGTAAGATACGTCAATTTAAAAAAAGACAAAGGAATTGAGTAGTTGCATTTTATTTTTTAGACTACAGAGTTCTTAATTATCATTCAACAAAAACAGACAAAAGTGATTTTACTCAATATTATTTATCATTTTTTGAAAACCTGTTGTCATAGATAGGAAACTTGACAATAAACTTAATCGCGATTTGTCAGCTACGCTGGATTTACACGGGAGATCAACGTGAAACCAGTGCAGCTACTTATTCTATGATTATACTAACAGCTAGCAATCTAGCTATGAAAGCATCATGATCGTTACTTGAATGTGGTCGCACATAATGCAAGCGAGAAAGATCTTAAGAGTAATAATGTAAATTGTTTCTGAGAAGAGGATGCTTTTGCTCAACACAGTGATTACTTCTAGTGTTAACTGTGACGACAAATCGAATTTTTATAAAGCAAGTTAAAAGACTCACTTTCAGGATACTGAAAGAGCGCAGAGTTCCATACGATGAAAGAAGTCGGCATAGACTTGAATCTGATAGTGACGTGGGAATTCCTGTTAAGAAAATAGAATTTGAGTTTAGATGACCAACGAGATGGATATTTGGATTCATTCCAGGTGGGAAATAGTCTCGAGGCCTTCTGATGCGAAGTGTGCTACCAAGACAATTGATCCCATCCAAGCTTAAAGCAGCAGTAGTCTCTTCGACTGATCTTAACTCGATAAAGGCGAAATGTCGTTCTGAATTGACCTGTGCGCAAACGACTGGTTCACCGACTGACTGACATAAACCACGAGTCTGTAGCTCGGCATTGAAAAATGTTACCATTGTTTCGGATGTTATTCCAAGAGGGATACTGCCAATATATAAACGCCGAGCCTGTCGCGTCGAATTTAAAGATGTTGCTGGAACAGTGGCGTTAGCTGGATTTGTAGCCAGACCAGAAATAGCTGGACCAAATAAATCCGTCAAAGAACTCAGTGATGAATTTGGAGAGTTTGTGGCATTTAGTAACAGCGACATCAAACCATTTAAAGTGGGATTTGAAGTTGTAAATTTAGGAGGTCCGTTGGCAAAAGCAAGCGGATCTTTTTGCGGATCATGTATGGTCGTTCGTGAAAACTCTGCAAGTACGTGCTGTTGTGGTGACATTTTCATGTTGGTGTCCACAGAGTCATGATCAGAACGAGAAATTTGAAAGTCCGTTCTCAAGGAAGAGTTGCTTGCGCGCGTATGGCGGGGAGAACGACGGGACGGGGACCTACTTTCACTTGAACTTCGAAAGGATGAAGAGGATGATGATTCGGAAGTGTAACGGCGCCTGTGCCGTCTACGATGCTGCCGCCGACTACCCGAATAATGTCGAGATCTAGAACGGGACCGACGCAAACGACGGTGTCTTCGCCTGCTTCTATGTTTACGTGATGACCGTCGGTCGGAAGATCTGGATCGTTTCCTTCCAGCTTTTGAACATGTGTGTGTTCTTCGCCTGGAGTGGCGGTTCATGCGTGAGTCAGAAGCCGCTGTATGTTTAGAGCAAGACTCCTGTAAGCAGTCCTTTTCTTCATTAGGGTTCTGTAAGTGCTTTTTTGGTGTTTCTTTGGTAGATTTATCAGTTAAGAGCGCCGTTAATTTGTGGGGAGACGACGTAGTTGAAGAAACAGAAGGTTCCTGCATGATTAAATACCATCCAGATGAAAAATACCCTATTATATCACAACAGCTTGCCTCATAATAACAACTAAAGACCAACACGACAACCTTCCACTAACCGAACCGAAAACACGTAAAGACAAGCCTCGGGTAAGCAAATAAAGCGCTTGTTACATTTAATAATCAAAACACATAATCAAGGTCAATTGATTCCGCTATAATTTATGAATATCAAGTTAAAATAACATGACCAATGCCACAGTTTTATAGCGCATTCTCTTATTACTATATAAATGTCGGAAAAATGCTGCTGCTAAAAAGTTGGATAGATGGGTTTCGATATAAATCTAGCCTATTGAACAATTGGACCACCCTATTTGTGCTATTAATTTTAGAGCACAATGACCTCAAAAATAGTTGATAGAATGCATATAATTTCAAAAATAATACAGTATTCTTAAAGAATGTGAACTCAAAATAAATTGACTCGAAAGCCGTTTTTGCCGACACAAGCAATTGTGTTTTTACCTGATCTTTTTGGATAGGTGTTTAATATTCATCTGTAACTTCCCCAAAAACAATAATCTCAAACGTATTATAAACTGCGCTGCCCATTAAGTGTCATTTCGGGCAAAGTTAATCTCTATGGCACCGAAAATATGGCTAGTTGCTGGCCATGTACCATTACCAGGCTTACGAAGCCAATTGCTTAGATTTTGTTAATACCATGCATGTGCTTTCACTCGAGAATACTTAAAGCCTGGGATAATCGAGTATACTTTCAGACATTCCACAAGCACAAACTTGCGTCAGGAGCCTTCTATGCTAGCCTCCATACTAGGTTTGCAATTTTTTGAACACACGCAAATGGAAGTCTAGCTGATTTAGTTTCTTACATAATTACCGTCATTTAAACAAAAAATGTTATACTTGAGATTTACTAAAGAACTACGAATTAATGCTTATATTTACCAACAGGTAGGCCGCACCATCCATCGAAATTCTTTCTTATCTCTTAACCCAACTAGCTTTTACTTTACCTGATTATGCGGAGCATTTAAGAGTTAAGTTATTCCTTTTTTGAAGAATGTCTATGGATCAAATAGCTTAAAACATCGGATGAACTGCCTGGACAATCTGCACCTAGCTTTCTTGAGATCAAATGAAATAAGCGAGAAGTCTCCATAGATCTGAACAGTCTTCTAATCTGTTATCTTTGCTAGAAAGTTAAAAATTTTCGGGTCCCGTTTCCGTTATCCGAAAGTTAATTAAAATAATTAACGCAGTCTTACTAAGAATTCGATCTGATACGCATTATTTCCCGCTGATTTTTTTGATCATATCATCAATATCCGCATACTTGTTTCGGTCAGAAAACCGTTTTAGCTTTTACACTTTATACATGCTAGGATTTAAAAGGAAACAGTTCAACAGAAACCTTGGTTAAATATCATTCACATCAGCAATTGTTCTTGATTCAAAAAAATTTCAAGCTCCTGTTTGCCATCTTTTATCCTTGTTGAATGATGAAGCGGATGTAAATGTCAGTTTTATTTAATTTTTAAAAAATAAACGGTTATCTTTAAATAGACTGCACAGCTGACAGCTTAATACACACGGATAACTTAAAAGAAAATTCCAATAAATTGTGGATAGATGCATTCACATATGTGAGCTTTCTTAAATTGAATACTTTGTTTCAAACAAGACAGAACCAATTGATGCGCAAGGCCGTTTTGTAAATCGTGTTCAAATGGAGAGTAAATTTTAGCAGTCCTATCATATCACTATCGAGTCTTTGGGGTGGCGGTTCTTGTTTAGCTAATCAGAACCTTTATTTACAACAGCAGTAGCCTAAAGAATAGGTTTTTAGTGATTTCATTCCATCATAGAATAAAATTATTGTTAAAGCAGAAGGCCCTTTGTCTTAATTTATTTAAAGAAATTGCATGTCAAGCAGTTGTGTAAATAAAAACCTGCAGTTAACGCCGACCCAGCTGATCCCACCACCACCACCAATAGTAGGTTTCCTACTCATGATGCATCTAAAGGCTTAAAAAAGAGAGTGTAGACACAAAGTCCAGACATAAACAAAATATTTGACTTGAAATGGACAATCAGAGTCTTTAATTAATGTAGCCGGGCATTCTAAAGTCACTTTGATTCAAGAAAGTTTTGTAAATTAAATTAGCACATTCATGAGCGGATTGAATAATTAAACTTTGGAGTGCTATACAGTCATCACTAGATCACGAAATTTGAAACCGCATATTGATGCCTCTGCATTCTTGCGGCATACACTGCTTACTCTAGACAAGACGCTTAGTGCTGATAAGGTTATAATTTTTTAAACCGTAAAATCTGTTACAGTTGTTGGCGTGACTAAATTTTTACAAAAGTGAAAACTTTATGATAGGTAAATTATAATAAAGGATTATTCATAAAAAACTATTTTGTAGAATAGTTGTGATGAAATGAACAGTAACTGACGAAGCAACATTCTTAAAAACCCGTTATATACTGAGTTACTAATCAAAACGGGCAAAGACGTAATAAGAAGCAATGTCAGTTGACTTGCAACTGCACCTGTAGTAAGTAGTGCATTCTGGGATTTATTATATAAATGTGAACGGCCTTGACTTATCATAGTCCTTTTAGTTTCATTTAAAGGAGTCAACGTAGATAGATAGGAAGGTTTATCTTCGCTGACTTAAATGGGATTAAATTGAGTGGCAACACTCCAGCAAAAAACTGACTCATTTTTGTGGTCTGTATTATTGGAAATCTACCAAGTAATGTGCAGTACCGAACTGAATTTACAAAAGACCGTCCAGGCAACGATAACCCTAAGGCAACATTTTCTCATACACATACATATGTATTGTTTTGCTATAATTAATGTTTGGCTCATGTGTTAAGGGATTATAGCTGCAACAATGATTTTCTTCGCAGGCTAAATTCCAAAGGAGTGTGAGCTTGTGCTTAATGCATTTAAGAATATTTTGACTAAACATTTTTGAATTCACCAGGAATGTCGAAAAAACGTTTCTAACCCCACGTTCATCAAATTAGCATCATATGAGGTAAATTCATGAGAAAGACAACAATTTTAGGTACTCATGTACTTAGGCTGACAAACTTGATGAATCTCTTGTTTTACTTATTGAATCGGTGGCTATACGTATAAATAGCTATAAAATAGAAAGCACATTTGCCTACCTGTTTGGGTCTCCTGGTATTCACTGATGAGGAATTGTTACTTGTTCTTAAAATAATTCGAAAAATACCAGAAAAAAATCGGTAATATTTAAATGTGTTTGCCATTTTATACTTTCCAAATTTCATAGTTAGCCCTCGGCTAAGATCACTTTTGCTTCACACGCCTTGAAGGCTTTCTCCCTTTGTCAGTGCAATTCAGTGAAAAGTTTTTAGACTTTAATATTCCCAGATTGAGGCCCACTTAAAGTTCAAATAAGTTAGAAGAATAAACAGGTCTACCCTTTGTTGCCTTTTTTTACAAATTATTGCTCTAATTAGATTCCGAACTTATGCCAAACTTATTTAAAGCCAAATTATAGTGTAAATTGTTTTGATGGGTGATTACTACACAAAAATTTGAGGCCGACCGATGTGTTGTCTTGATATTGTGGTGCAGAATACCCGAGCCCTAGGAAAAGGAAGACTGGCACAACACAACAGGCTTTATAGATCAATCACAAACCAGAACCACAGGTCAGGTGCCATCTATCCAAGTTCACTACGCTGGCTACGCCGTTTATTATACACTGATCCTCGATAGTACCTTTCTCTGGTTGGCTGCATATTTTCCTCCCATGCCATTGGAACGCAGAGAGACATAGGATTGGCTGCGGCCAGGCGATCCAACCTGTCTGCGACCTAGTCTGTCGCCACACCACACCACACCTGTAGATTATCCGAGCCCTATTAGGAAAAAGACCGGTAGAACATAACAGGCTTTATTGACCAATCAGAAGCCAGAGCCACGCGTCAGGCGCATTCCATCCGAGTCTGCCACGCTGGCCACGCCGCTCATTATATACTGTACCTCAGTTGTGTCCTTCTCTGGTTGGCTGCTTATCTTCCTCGCATGCCATTTGAACACAGAGACACAGGATTGGTTGAGGCAGGTGGTCCAATATGTCTGCGCCCTAATCCGTCGAAACTGTAGAATACCCGAGCCCCAATAGGA